TGGGCTCCATTTTATTCTTTCTGGAAGTTTTGTCCTAAAGAAATCTGCACCACTGAGTTTTTGTGTTTCACTTTATAAATTCCTGCTTATTACAGCATCCTAGACAATTCCATGCTCTGGAACTTGACTTTGGGATTCCTTTTACTTTGCATTTTCCAAGTGGGTTCTCTCATAGACAAAACAGCTGAGCACTGTGCTGGAATAGCACCATCTTCAACAGCACTTTGCTGCAACCAATGCATGCAAACAGGATTGCAGATTTCCTAGTCAGTCCTACAAGACCTATGCATGGTAATTACACTGTGAATTGCTCCCACCCAAACCTCAAGGATTCCTCACAATAGGTAAATTGAAGCAAAAAAGGACAATTTTGTGGCACTGCATCCTGTCTGTGGGAACTGCCATATATCCTGTCTGCCATATATCTGATCCAGAATAAATTATTTCACAAAATCACAGAAGCTTCTGTCACTGTTGCAAACAGATTTTAGTAGCTTCACTTCAGAAATAACAGCTACTTTCTTCAGTGAGTGATCTAAAAGCAGTTAGTTCTGATAACATAAAAATCAAAGTATTCACATCTTGTGCTGTTGGCATCACTGCACATTACAGGGTGAAGATGCAGGGGACACACCCTGGAACTTCACATGCCAAGATGGAGGAAATCAATCTCTTAATAAAAAAAGGCAGGCTCACTGGTGTAGAAAATCACTACTCAGGAGCCTTAAAGTGGCTCCTTCAAAAATTCATGATTATAGAATGGAATCCTGGGCTATGGTATAGTCCTGCAAGAAAAAAGGATATGGAGAAAAAAAAATCCAATTTTCATTAGATGGAGAAAATAAAGAATAAATCCCATATGCAAAGTCATTGATTGCAAGGAATGTAATTCTATGCTCAATATGTGAGAACACTCTCCAAGTTTTTCATATACCCAATGCTTTTCCTAAATACTTTTCAAAGTTTTGGGTTGGTTTTGTGTTATGTTTTTTTTTCATGCCCCTAATACTAATTCCATCTCAGTACATATTTCTGATTATTCAGGCCAGCTGCCATTGATAGCAATAAAAACATGCTACCTGTAGCAATATACAGAAATTTAACAAACTCAGTATTGACCCAATGACTTAAGCGTGCTGCTCTGTAAAGCACTTGGTCGTGTTCCCTGCTGACAGTATTCATAACATAAATGCAAGATGCAATTAATAGCAGAGAGCATGCATCTTTGCCCTTCTAATCCATACTTTGTGTATAGCCATCCTGAGAAGAGGCTTTCATTGTATGATGCAGCCTTGCAAACTGAATACCTTCATTTAAAGCAGGTTCCACACTTCCTATCTATGGGGAGTCTGAATTCCTGTATTACAATTATTTGAGGCTGTGACATTTAATATTCAGTCCTGCAGTGTAGATGGCTGTGTTGGCTGATAATTTTGGATGGTGTTTGGTTTGAAGTGTGGCTTTTGCACAATTAGAGCAGGTAGAATGCCAGGGTTGCTTTTGCAGTATTTTAGCTCTCAGCTTCGGTAGACCTATAACACAGTTTTTGTGTGGAAGAGACTGGATTATTTTAGATGTAATCTAGTCAGCTGCCTGGAAATACAGTCACTCTAAATGCAAGTTACAATGCCTTTTTACTATATTATCATACACCAAATCATTCCCTTTTTAAAAAAATTATTTTTCACATATCTAATGCAGCTGCAGAACTATTCATGCAGGAACATTTCAGTAGTTCAGCTGATCAGCTCAGAGTCAAGAAGCAGCTTCTGACAGTTCATCCTGCTGTTTACTTAAGCATGGCTGAGTCACGGCTACAGTGAATCCAGCACCTCCTTTAACTTTTATTCATTCATTCATTCATTCATTGTTAAGGGTGTACGTGTGAGGGGCTTGGATGAGTTCAGTGTACTGTCATGTAGGTGCCATTATCCCTGACTGCTGAGGTAAGCTGAGACTTGAAATACTCCTTCACACAAATACCTATTTTCTCTTCTGTTTTGTGTAGCAATATATTCATAATATTTGACACCTCAGAATGCACTTCATTTTCAATAGAAGACCCTTCAGGACAGCAAAAGGGAATTCTTCCAAGAATTTGAACTCTCTTGAAGATCTCCCAGCCTTAACTCACCCTTTCTCAAAGCTCTATCAAATAATTTATCAGCAAAGACAACAGAATGGCCATTGTGTAGTTGTTGCTCTGCACTATATTTTGAACTGATGTGCTGATAGAGGAGCCCTGTCCATGCCCAGTTGGGTTGGCATATGGAATCGTAAAGTCACAGAATCATTAAGGTTGGAAAGGATCTCTAAGATCATCTTGTCCAAACGTCCCCCTAGCGCCAATAGTGATCACTAAACCATGTCCCTAAGAACCACATCCCTTGCCAAGCTCAGAAGAGTATGTTTTAATTGCAGTATCCTAAATCAGGAGCACATCTGCCAGCATTCTTTAATGAAAGCTTTCTTCTGCAGTTCCCCTTCCACATTCTTTTTTTAATGAGTAGGAAAGGATTGTATTGCGTTAAATAAAAGGCAAGTGATGGATGGGAACAAACACCTGCAAAATGTAAGCAGCAGCATGGTATTTTGGTGCAAGCAGAGCAGCCATACTGGATCACTGTTATTTGGCAAGGTGAAAGCCCTTCCCACTATGCAGCACCTTTTTGAAGCTACAGCCATAGCCTAGGAGTTAAGGAGAGGTCAATAAAGAAGAACGAGTGTGCGTTTGTGCCAAGGCATTTAGGTTGTCTGCTGCAGTAGTGGAAAAATGGGAGGAAATTTGACCTGGTAACTGAGCACGTTATTGAATGTGTCTGTGTCTGCATCTCACTGTTTGTCACATCTTTATCACAAGATATCTTCACCATGGTTGTTACTACTGAAGCATGGGTTGCTGCAGGGAGGGGTGGCTATCCGTGGTGCTCATGGTGATTTTGGGTTGGTAGGCATGAGCAGGCAGTGTCCAGCTTGGGCACTGCTGCAAGAAACTCATAGTGAATTCCACCATGAACCTCACAGCCAAGAGAAAAATCAAGAGCAAACGAGTTTTTTAGCATCTGCTTCAAGGGACTCTTGGCTATTGCTGCTCGTGCTGAGGTTAATTTGCTTCCTAAGAGAGCTGGAGTAAACACTGTGGATCTGTTTGCAATCTGCCCCTCTGCTGCTGCACACAAGTGGGGCCTTTTGTACCCAAAACAACTCCAAATTACTGTACATAAACTGTAATCATCTGTCAGGAGGACTGTAGTTTTCTATTTTGCTGCTAATTGGATGATACGTTGGCAATAGTCTTTGTTAACATGGCTAGCACTGGGCAGGGTACAATGGGAGAAGGCTTGTATTTAGAACTGTTGCTAAAATACACTGACTGTCTCCATTTGACAGCGATTGAAACCAATCGTCAATTAACTAAATAACAGCCAATTAGTTTGAAGGAAAGAGGAAGAAAATTGCTTACTTCTCATTCTTTGTTGAAGCAAATGCCAATCAGAGGATGAGAAATTTTTTTCTTTCTCCTGTGAGAAGACAAAATGTGAAAAGATGTGCAGATTTTTTTTTTTTTAAATAAATACCGTCTTTTTCTCATACAAGAATATTTCAGAAACTAGATAAGAACATCTTAAGATCCTGAGACATTTAATTTCCTGTGATTTTTTTTTTAAATCAAAATTACAATCATTATGCAGGCACAATTTTTCTTCCTTTCCTTTGTGCTGCTGCTGGATGCTTGAGCACAAGAACAGCTCTGCAGAAGCTAGCTGCCTGCACAAGAAAAGCCCAGCAAACAGCTATGGCTGCATAAGCAGCGTTGGAATAGTAACGTCTGCATCACCAGACCAAGCCCTTCATTTTTCATATTCCATATGGTTGTAGGGGTCCACAAAACCATACAGAATCATAGAATCATTAAGGTTGGAAAAGACCACTAAGATCATCAAGTTCAACCATCAACCCATCCCCAATGTGCCCACCAATCCTTGTCACTCAGTGCCATATCATAGCTGAGACCTCATCAAAAGTAATGCTGCTACAAAACTTGCAGCACCCAGAGACCTCAGGAAGATGTGGAGTAGTTCCATCACCCTGGCATTTGGTGATGCTCCCTCCCATGTTTCATGCCTGTATCCTAACCTGCTTAGAAACATAGAATAATTAAGGTTGCAAAAGACCTCTAAGATCATCCAGTCCAACTGTCAACCCGTCACTATCATAAATGGGTAATAATGCCAAAAGATACTGACTGAGTGAAGACCACTGCATGGTGAAAAGCAGAAGATCAGGACTGTCTCCTGGTTTGCTGCTCCTTATGTTAGCTGTTAGCTCAGTACCATCTCCTCAAAAAAAGCAGTGAAATCAACACAAAGGCTGACTCTTGATCATACGTGCTGTAAGTGCAGTGCCATGTAGCTCATGCCTGTCCCCAGACAGAGGCTGATGTCTGCAGAGGGTCTCCGACAGCAGATGATGCACTGAGCAGAGGAGGAGCAAAGCTTAGAGCAAAGAAGCATCTGCTACAAGCTGCCTTAATATTGCTGGGTTAGTAAAAACCCATTTACTCATCATAACCTGGCTTTGAATTTTTATTGCACTCTCCTCCTGAGCAGTTAAGGCCAGAAGTTAATGCACAGAGGCATTACGTGGCTGTGCTATTTGCCTGCAAAGCCGGACTGCAGCAGGCCCCATGGGGCTGCCATCAGGACCATGCCTACCTGATAGCCTTCAGTTGCATCGATCGATAATTCTTCACTTGGACTTTTTGCTTAGTGTTCAGAAAGATTTTATTCTGCTACTTCGAGCTGCTCGCGGTGTCGTTTCATGGGATTCAAATTGTGTTAGTCTGTTGTTAGTACTTCTAGGGCCAGTGTTCTAAATTGGATAGCAGAGGGTAGGAGGTACGTTTTTTAATTGTCAGAAAAGCAATGGATATTGGATTCTTTTGCATTAACTGATGGGAGACTCTGCATCACACATATTGATCTTTTACTTTCTTGCAGGAACATTTTACACCTGAATGCAAGTTCAAAGAATCAGTATTTGAAAACTACTACGTAACATATTCTTCAATGATCTATAGACAGCAACAGTCTGGCCGGGGTTGGTATTTGGGTCTTAACAAGGAAGGAGAAATAATGAAAGGAAACCACGTGAAGAAAAATAAACCTGCAGCACACTTTCTTCCAAAACCATTAAAAGGTAATTTCTTGGCTTCGCTCCATCTACCTGAGCTGACTTTGTATTGTCAGGGATGTTTAATTGCCATGCATACATATTTGAAGGGTACAGCTAACTATATAACAAAGGTATAATATTCTGTAACACGCTCTCAGTGTAACCTGCTTTTTTTTTTAATGCTTCTCTACATTACTTCTGCCTTTCTCTCATCTAACTAGATATATACATTAGTTTCTTTGTGCCCACATTCCACAGCATCTCTGTTACATCTAATGAAGGCTTTGCTTGGAATAGCCCAAGCATTTACACAGCCATTACCAACTTGCTGTATATCTCGTCTGTCTCTGCTATATATTACAGGATGTTTGTCTATTTTTGTCTGGGATAAAGCTGCAGTGTGCAGTGCTTATTTAACCACAATTAATGTGGCATCAGCATGTGACATTAAAGGTAATAATGCATGTGGCATACATTTCTTGCTGTGTATTAAAAGCCAGGACCTGGAGCCATCCCTGGAGCATCAGAATCAGTGTGTGCTCGGACTTGGATTCTTCTTTGGTTAATGCAAAGTGAGAAAATACCTTCATCATTGTGTTCTCCGGAAAAAGCTTCCATAAGCTCCTCCCTTGTGGGCATGAAGCTCTTCACTTCTGGGTTATGCTGTTAAGACACCTTTTAAGGCAGTGTCATTCTGAAATCAGAGGGGATATTTCCAAGGTGCACAGCCTTGGCTGGGTTCCAGACTAGCTTGGCAATCTACGTTTAGGAGCAGGTTTTAGGCAACTGACACTGAGGTTGATCTTCACTTATGTGTATGAATGCAAAAGAAGCAGAAGGCTGAAAAACCATTTTCGTGCTCTTCAGCTTGGTCTGTATACACAAGTAATAGGCCAGGTCACAGCTGTTAGCAGTGCTCTTTCATCATTAGTAAGGAAATGCCGATTTATATCAGCTCGCATCTATCTTGCAAAGCTTTGGGTAGGTGGGTGATTTAACTGGGAGAAAAGGTAACTAGGGTTTTTTTTTTTACCCTCTCTAAAATGTCATTCCCTTTAAGAGGAGCTTGGAATTTCTTAGGGTGTTTTAAGTGGAAGCTGTATTTTTTTAATTCACTCCTTATGTTGCTCTTTGCGGAACAAAAAATCTGGACATTTAGTAGCTGGACGTTGCACCAAGTGACTGTACTGCATGCTCATGTGCTGCCTCTCTTTTGCTTTGCAGTGGCCATGTACAAAGAGCCTTCTCTCCACGATCTCACAGAGTTCTCAAGATCTGGAAGTGGGACCCCAACAAAGAGCAGAAGTGTTTCAGGAGTGCTAAATGGGGGTAAATCCATGAGCCAAAACGAGTCAACGTAGCCAGGTTAAGGCAAGCCAAGTGCTCTCTAAACAGAACCTTACCTCTGGATGCAGTTGAATTCTTACTAGCAGTCTTTCATCCAAATGTTCAATTGCCCAGGACAAGCCACCGAACTTGCATAGGTCACTCGTTTATCAGCCATTAGATCTACTGGTTGTCAAAGGATATACCCCAATAATGTAGAATATGCTTGTGCATATCACAAGGCACTTGGATAGCCAGCAAACATAACTGCGGATTAAATCTCGGAGAAGAGGTGTCCAGATCTTTCTCTCTCTCTCTTTTTCTCTCTCTCTTTCTCTCTCTCTCTCCTATGCTTTGTGGAATACGAAACAAAAACATTTCACAGCATTCACTGCTGATAAGAATTTGCTTTCCAACTAAGAAAAAGACCACTTTTGCTCTTCAAAGGAAATTTTAATGCTTATATGTTTTATAGGGGAAACAAAAAAGAAATATGTAAACTCTGTTGTTTCCTTAGCTTACAGTTTTATATCTAAGGCTTGATAAAAAAGATGTATCCTTTAATTTGAAATAGTGCAACTTTTTGATTTCTGAACTCCAATGGGTCTTTAAAGCTATGTCTTTCAAAAAATAATTAAAAATTCAGGGTTGGAACTGAGAGTTGGTGTCTCAGGCTCTAGCAAACAGTGTTCTTGTGGTTTTAAACACAACGAAATATAAATTTTTATAGATTTGTAGTTTCTGGTAAAGTTCTTGTGCTAACCCCAGTCTGTAGGAACTGAAATGTTTTGTTATCCCAAGTGGAAGTTGACAGAAAGGGATAAAATTATCCTCCAGTGTAGATTTCTCTTAATTCCATTTTGTGTGTCATGTTAAACTATTGTTGTGGCTTCTTTTCTAAAGACAGAAACTGTGGAATTAAGGTGACTTAATTTTTTATAAGAAACGTCTTATTTGTAAAAGTCCTTCTTTCACTGTAACGGGCACGTGAATATTGTGTAGGAGGAAGCGTTAGGACAGGTTACCCCTAAACAACATATACTTATACATGCTATTGGAAACAATTGTTTAAAAAAATGTAGTTAGGTTTCCATTTAGGTCATCATGTCTGTTGCATGGGAGAAAGTTGGAATATTGGCCTAGAGTTGCATGATGTGTAAGATTTTGTGCATTAATCATCGTTGGATTCTGTGCTCCAAAACTGACATAGTTCTGTACAGGCAGAACTTCTGCCTCGTACAAAAGAGTTGTTTATTATTTGTTGTATACACAACCATGCACTGAATAAACTATTTATATTAAGATGTACTTTTTAAAAAAGCTTGTTTGATTATATGATGTACATCAACGATTAATTTCAAGGGAAAAGGTTGGCAATTAAATTATAAAATTATAAAAGATACTGTAATTAATGTTCAGAATCTTTCTATTTAGCAAGTTCTTCCCTTGTGACTCCGTACTCCATATGAATGAGAAAACATTCTTCCTTTTGGACATTGTTAGAACTGGTCTTACACGCCCAGCTGAGATACTCAAAACACAGTGACTACTAAGTGCCACAAAGTCTAGGTAACAGCCCCTTGGCTGCACGCTGCTGGAGCCTCAGTGAACTGCTCTCCTCTGCTTTGAGCTTCTCCAGCTTCTCCGTGTCTGTTCTCCTTGTTAGGCTTCCTTAGTGCAGCCATATAGCGCTACCTCGCAGCACACCTCCCCAGAGCCCTCAGTACAGGGGGACCCAAAAAGATCTGGTGAGTTCAGCACTGCTCGTGTCAGGGTGGCACCTTGAGGATGCTCAGAGTTCCCTGAGCATCACTGTAGGCACTCATTGTGGCCAGCTCATCTGGTCTTGAGGAAATGGGCTACCACGCCTCCTGCATTTGTGCACGTGTTCTGGAGAGAAAATGTACTTCTCTCCTGAGTTTTCTCTCCAAAAGCATCAACGAGAACTTTTCTACAGTGTCCATACAGCTCTGACAGGCAAGCTTCACTCATCAAGGTGTTTCAGTAAGACCTAGGAGGAAGAAGTTCTCATCGTGGGTGGCTGAAGAAGCAGGTCTGGAAGGGAATCATGGAAAGGGAGACAAAAAGCTGCCTGTGTTAGTCTGACATTAAAAACAGATATTCTGCTGTCTAGTATGTCTCCTTCCCTCCTGAACAAGCTGGGACAATAAGGTTTTTTTTGAATGTCTGAGGGCTGAGAGAAAGGGCTGAGAAAAGAGAGAAGGAGATTGTTTCACATCAAACTCCCGAATTTGTTCTTTTGTGGCAAATTTTATGCCAAGAGCTCTGGCTTGCTAAACTCCTCTGTTGGAGCAAGGTATTGCCCTCCTCACATAACACCATTGTGGTGACCTTCAGAGGACCTGGGATCCTCATATCAACCCTTGCTGAAGGGTGAGGAAGATGGAGGAGCACTACCATGAAAGTCATTAAAGAATTGAAGATGTGCCCTGTGATTGCTTCTGGGGTTTTGATATTTCAGTGGGTCTGGAGCATTTTTTCTCTTCAGCTAATTGTGCTTTGCCTTCATGAAGCATTTTCTTAACCCTCACAGTCAAGAAACTCAGACTCATTGGGGTGCATGTTCCAAAAAAGGAGTCCGAGTGCCTTAGGAACATAAAACCTGATCAAAAGTAGGCATTGTTGTGCCAAAGCTAGCTAGTTCAATGCCGTGTTTATTATCCTAAAGGTACCTGGAGGTCTGCTGCTTTGCTTGATAGCTGCAGCCTTGCAACTCCCCATCCCCAATATCTCCAACCTGCAGCAAAAGAAAAATGCTCATCTCACAAATTGTCGCTTCCAAAGACCCATTTTTCATATTGACATTGTCATCAGTGAGCATTCGCTATCAAGTCCTTAGTTTCAAAAGTTTCTAATATATCAGGCTAGCAAAGCCCACTCTTGGGTTAAAGACAAGGAGAGATGTGTGGTGATAGATGAACTAGAAGCAGCTGTTTCTAAAAATTTCTGGCAAACCTGTTAAAATTGTCTCCTTCAGATTTGTAGACTGGAAGGGGAAACCCTTGATAGCATCCTGCAGTAGACAAAAGCTCATATACAGTATAGCCAAAGTGGGAGATTATGTCCAGAATTTTACAAGTAGTCTGTGGAACCACAGAATGAGAGAAATGCAGTAAAATGTGCCTTTGCAGACAGTGATGTGAAGGTGATACTCTGACCCAGACAGCAAAGACCCTTGAGTAGACAGGAGTTTGTCTTCAGCAAAGGAGTTAGACTCAAGTATTTATTTATCTTCCTTCTTCTGCACCCGTAGATTAGCCCATTAAACAGATAACTCTTGAGTCATACCTTCATTTAAGAAGCCTGCTGGATGTTGGAAAAGTATCCGTATCAGGTAGCTGTCTGTGAAAAGAAAACTTACAGCCACCAGTCAACCCACTTTGCTCTGCCACATGTACCTGTCTAAGTGCAGTAGGATGCATGCCTGGAATAAAGACAAACCGAGCCTTGTACTGGCTGTGAGCCACCAACCACCTGCAGAAGGTTTTCTCTCAGGCCCTTCTTTATTGCCATTGTGATGGCTTATGCCTCTCACCTGCCATTTTGTTTGTCCCTGCCTCTCCACCAGTGTGACCACACTCTGCGTGGCATACCATGGGCCTGGATTTGACCCAGGAGGTGCCAAACTGGTACGGTGGCTTTTCAATTCACCTGGGCTTCCTCAGGCAAAGGTCCAGAGCCACTGTGGGGCAGAGGCCTTATGAAAGGCTGACAAACACTACCTGCCAACCCAACAGGAATCAGGTCACCCATGAAAGTGGAGCACAAGTATTATGGGGCAAAACCTCTGCCTTTTTGAGATCCACCTATCACAGCTGCTTTCTCTGAGGTCTCTGCAGAGGACTTGAACATTGCCTCCTCTGTCTGATTTTGGGGTAAGGGAAGATGGCAAGAGCTCTTCTCTGCATCGCAGAGAGATCTTTATTTTCCTTCTTCTTTCTTTTTTTATTTTGTTTTATTTACCTCATGCTACCTCACAGCATGGTTGCATCTCCATAGCCCCTTGCTCAGACATGTTCATCGCTGGCACGATGGAAGACAATTCCCTACTTGGGGAAAACACCTCCAGGTTCCCCCCAGGAAGAACGATGCCCCTTCTGCAGCACTGTCTGGTGTCCCCACCGCTGGTTTCCAGCCCACAGGCCAGGGTTTCCAGTGGGATAAAGGTGGTGTAACGAGCTCAGGGATGCTGTGGTATGTCAGGCCTCTCGGCAGCTGAGCACCAGCACGAGAGCCAGGTCTGGCAGAGCTCTGCTGTGTCTTGAGTATCTCTGCATGGAGACCAGACACCTCTAACGGGTTTAAACGTCTCCCTGACATATCCTTAACCAGGACACTTTTGCAGGACAGAATCTGTATGTAACAACCTCCTATCTTCTAATAAATAAGTCTCTCTAAAACAGATTTCTCTTTGTCTGGGCTCTGATTTTTATCACTGCATGTATTTAAGGGCTTTCCATCCCAGCACTGCTGCATTACACCATTGCTTTCACTGAGATAAAGTCCCTACTGTAGTAATACAGTCTTTTATGTCCCTTTGAACTAGAGCTGGGTGACCTGAGTGGTCAAGGCACACAAATGAGCCCTCCAGTTGCTGTAGCATAGATACAGGCCATGGAAGACACAGAGCATGTGAAGAGTTTTAGCAGCTCATGGAATGTCTTCAGCGAACCCTGGAGTTCAGCTGCCTGCATGGTGTAAGGACAAGACAAAGCACCATGTTTTTGTTCAACTTTGGCACTCAGGAAGGCAGTGATGTAAAAGAATAGCAAAAAGCCTACTGGGAATAGGTTTGTTTCTACCTACAATGTGATTTGTTTTAAAGAGCACAGACTTCAGGCTTTTTTTCCAGTTCTTTTGGGAGAAGACATTCTTGAGAATGTCCAAACTCAGATCATAGCTTAAAATTTAGAAAAAAATCACCAGAATGAATGAGCAGAGCTGTGGGATCTGACCCTTCCAGGCAGGTGGGCACCAATGTTCTTGCCTTTTAGAGAGCAGGGTCTTGAAACAAGCTGTTTTTGCTGCTTGATTTTATTGCAGGTCTGCTCTGCTAGCAAAGCTCACCCTGATTTGGGAACATGCCATGGCATAGGGAGGTGGATACGGGGGATTACACAGTCACACTGCCCTACTGCAGCTCCCCTCATGGGGAAGCTGAAATATTAAAGTAAGACCTAAATTTGAAACACATTTTACATTAATCAGGGAAATTGAAGTAATAAATTATTCCATCTCATCAGAAATGGAAGACAGTTTATAGGGTTCCCTTCAAAGATC